CATTATCGACCGCCGTCGACCCACCATTGCACCGACCACACATTACCATTTGCCATCAATGGAAACCGTCACCATGGCATTTTGAGAATAAGATTTGAAACTAAAATCTACATATTGAAAACAAAAATTTTGGGAATAGGAGTTCTTGAAAACCTACGTATTTAAACCAAAACCAACATCTTGAAAACCTAGCGGTGGTCAACGCTATAGGTGAAGCTGACTCAGACAAGTTTTCGACTTTCACTGCTGCCATTTTCTGAGAAGCTTTGGATAAAACTAGCGAATTGAGGCCTAATCCACTTAAGTCTTTTACATATGTTCATTGATAAAGAAACCCGTTAGCTTCAATAGCAAATCCACCAAAGCATACCCATTTAGCTTGATCACATGCCTTTCTTTCCGGTCCCTTATAGTCAAACAAAAAATTTGTTTTGTACCAATGTATCTGCAATCAAGCGTCATATACCAGTTTTAGAAGCCTCCATTAGAACAACTAACAAGGGGAGAGAAGAGAACTTAGCTTACTTGAGTAGTTTTTCAGTAACCCTAGCTGGACAACCGAAGATGATCTTAGTCCTTTGTGTTAAGAAAGGCGTTAAGAGCGCATTGAACGCATAATACCAAAAAGGAACATTGATAGATATCGACATATAACATATGAACCTATCAACAAAGGTAAATAGAACGTTAGAATTTCTTTTTGAATAGAGATTATATGAAGCTAAGAGAAATGCTTACATTTCTTGCAACAAATTCAGAATAATTATCCTGCAGATTCCCTACCGCTCGTTTGGTAGCAAGTCGAAGATCCTTCCTTGAACGTCCCGAGGTGTTCTTAAGATCATTAATTTGGAGCAATGAGACGCCACCGAGCTAGAAATTAAGCTTATGGATTTGCTTCTCCATTAATTGAAACCTACATTCAAGAACCTCTCAAGGGAAAAAAAAGAGATTTTGAAGGTGAGACAGAAAGAGGGACTTCTTCAAGGGCAAGTGATAGCGATGGGTGGTGGTAGGTGGGTTTGATTTGATTTTGTTTTGTTTTGGTGTGAATGGGTAGGCAGGGTGAAGCGGTTTGAAGGAAGAAGATAACTTTTTTTAGTTCTTTTCTTTTCTCATCTTTTGATATTTTTTTTTTTTTTGTACGGAAGCGTTTAGAAATTCTTGTAATAAGTATTGAAAATAAGAATTATATTGGAATAATCTTGCTTTGTATTGATATATGATTGATTGATTAAAAAGTGTACAATACCCCTATATTTATAAACCTAATTATCCCTAATCC